TTCTTTAGATTTATTTTTATTTATTCTTTTTTTTTATTTTTATTGTGTGACCAAAAATGTAATTCCATACCAAACAGTAATTCTTAAGGAACACTAGTATTTTGCATCTTTCTGCAACATTTCAGCACGTCTGGATGAACTATAACACACAAAAACTCCTAAAACCGGCCTAATGTGGTTTACAGATCTTAGCCACCATTCTGGTTCCGGCTAGTCTGGTTTGATGGTTTAAGTAGCCAAACTAATAATTTACTTCCTGCAAGACCATGAAACAACAGGAAGTAGGCGAGCGCTAGTGTGTCCATCCATAAGAGGAAAGTTTGAATAGTTTCTCTGTGCTTTGCTGAGCGTCTGACGCTGCAGAACAGCGCTGCGAGGACGCCGGCAGGTGACGAGGAGAAATCGATCGCCGCCGCTCACAAACACGCTATTAATTTCCGGCCTGCCGTGTTTCTGTCAGGTCGCGAGCGAGACGCGGGAGTTTGTTTCTGACGAGACACTTTTGGCCTCCGTGTGTTCTGCTGACTGCTCGCTTCAGGAGACGGAGAAATAGGCTACTCACCTTGTCTTTCCTTAAGCTGCTCAAGTATCATTTTTAGATCGTTCTGGAAACAATCTGTGCCGTTTGCCTAAAAAAAACCCAGACAGAATGAAACCCAATGATCTGGTAGTTGTTTAACAGTTTTTTTTAAGCATTTACTAAAGAAATTAGACAACAGTTTAACTGCATGAGGTTCAAATTCAGAGTAGCCTACACTTTTTTTAAATTGGATTTATTCACACTTTGAAAAAAAAAAAAAGTGCAAAATTAGGTATAGCTTTAAATGTAATACTTCACACATCATAAAAATGTATAGTAATTTTGCGGTCTTTAAATAGTTAACTACATTATTTAACAAACTAACAATGAAAAACACTTTCTTAATCTTACTAAAGGTTAAAACTAATCAAGGATTTGTTGCCCGGGGTCGTCACATGTGGTTGCCGCAAGCCCGCCGGCTCTGCTCACTCTAGCCCCCGGCCTCTGCTCACTATAGGCCGCCGCCGCCGCTCACTCTAGGCCACCGTGTGTGAGGGTACTTCCTCTGAATGACAGTGAGAAGTGACGGTTGACAGGTGACAGAGGTTGGCACAAAAACTCTGACAGAGATCAAGCGTGACAGAGGCTCATCAGACAGTCTAGCGGGAAGCCGCCAAGCCTCAAACAGCACAGGAGAATACACGGACCGGATGTGCATGTGTGATACGATTATCTCGAGAGACATGGGGTCAACATTTACACCTCAAACTGACGGATCTTAAGTCAAAGTAGACATAAGCTAGCATACTGCAAAGTATATACTGCCTAAGTACTTCAATAAACCTTTCAAATGCTACATTGTCAAATAAAGTAGGTCTAAATCGATTAGTGTGTTCAGCACTAAACTCGTCCACAGATTCTTGATATCATCCTAGAACGAACAGGATCAAAAGTTTTTTGAATTTTCACAAATCATCATCGAAAACATACACACTAAATCTTGTTCTAAATGTATCAATTAACATCCTGTGAAGTCAAAAGCTGAGTGTTTGTAAGAAACAAATGCATCATTAAAAATAACTTCAAACTGTTGCTTCTGGCTAAAATACGGAAACCGGTCTCATGAAAATGCGTATAAATAGTATGCCAAATAAAAACAAAAACTCGTGGTATTGATACACAAAAATTTACTTTGGCGTGCAGTTTTCGCGCGCATTTGATACGCAGTTTTCGAGTACATATGATACGCATCTACCCCACAACCCTAATCCTACCCATTGCATAGCATATACACGCCAGTCAATTTTTGCGTATCAATACTACGAGTTTTTGTTTTTATTTGGCATTTTATTTATATGCACTTTCATGAGATTGGGTTAAAATACGAGTCCATAATCCATAATAACGCTCCTGTTTTGGCATATAAATGGTGCTTGATCGGTGCAGATTTCTCTCCTGATTCAGAACAGACGACTTTTTTACTGGAGGAAGTGGTTTTATGGATTATGGACTCTAATGATGGATGGATGATGGATTTGTTTCTTTTGTGTTCACAAGACATTAACTGATGGACTGGAGTGGTGTGGATTACTTGTGGATTATTGTGATGTTTTTATCAGCTGTTTGGACTCTCATTCTGACGGCACCCATTCACTGCAGAGCATCCATTGGTGAGCAGGTGATGCAATGCTACATTTCTCCAAATCTGATGAACAAACAAACTCATCCTAATCTTGGATGGCCTGAGGGTGAATGTATAGTTTAAATTCAATGTCGTTTTGGATAAAAACATAGCCTAAATATTACATGCCACTCAAAGCAACTTACATTTTATGACATGCAACTACAGATGTACAGATGCACAAAATAACGACAAAACAAATTCGTATAGTTCATCACCGCTCTGAAAACGCAAGTATGCTCAGAAGAAAGCAGAAGTGAAGGGCAGCGGTATAAATAAACGAGGGGATGAGCAATCTTTCTGGGTAGTTATCAATCACTGCTGTGTGCTCACTGAGGCCGGGCCGCACGATGACTCATTGCTGTAGCAGGAGCAGCAGTGTCCATATCCCAGCAGTCAAGGGTCAAACCACACACTCTCACTCGCGCAAACACCCGGCCAGGTCGCGCAGCGCGGTTATTCACGCACACGCTCGGCTGAGCTCTCTGGCTAACAGGAAATGAGGCAGTCAATAGAACGAGGCCCAGGCTGTCGATAGGGACTCTCGGATTTGTGCCTCGCTAAAAAGTCCAGGGCTAATGCTGCGTGCCAGCGCTAACGCAAGGGTGGCGTGACCTCTACCTGCTACACAGAAACCTATTATATATGTGGCTTTAAGTGCACCTGCTCACACTGGATCTCAAGCATGCAAAATTATTCTGGACAGCAGGATATTAGAAAATATCTAATTTTTTTAGAGGGGGGGGGTGTTGCTAAAAAGGAGTTGCAACCAAAAATCAAATGTTCATCTAACTTGGAAAAAAAAAATGCTACACTAACTCTAGAAGAAAAGATTTAACCGTTTTTAGTTAATTAATAAAATCAAAATATTTTCCTCTAGTGAGTGTTGCACCTTCTCTTCAAATTGGAAAAAAAGTAACCAATTCAAAATTATTTAATAAATAAAATAAATAAATTAAAAAGATGCAAATAATTAAATAAAAAAATATTTATATAAATATCTAACGAACACCGAATTAATTTGTGTAAAGCAAACTGTGAAGGATGTTTTCTTATTAGTTGGCTACTCAATCATATACAGCAAAACATAGCACTGAAAACTGAAATTCGCAAAATCATTCACAGAAATGAATCCCACAGTTGTCTTTGCACAGTCTTTGAAATTAACCCACTCCTTTCACCGAAAATGTCCATAAAAATATGAATTTGCAAAGTTTTCCATGTGCACAAAAGCTCTTGAAGGCCGTGTACAACAAAACCAATTAAACCAACCTGTGTTTTCACGAAGCCTAACTGTATAAATCCATACTGATGCTAGATTATTTTAGTACAAATGGAAATGCATTACAAACAACCCAACAGGACAAAAGGTATTCAATGCAAATGTCAAGCCAACTTGCAGTTTCTTAAATACCTGCTGTTGCTTATCGTGTTAATATTCAGTTGGGATATTAAAATCAAATCAAAATGTACAATGAAGAAGCAATTTTATTACAGTAAACTTGCAAAAACAACACATTAAAATACCCAAAACCCAGCAAAAAGTGGCAAACGTTTGCTAAACTCGTCCTTATTAAAAGCGCTGGCTCTTTTAGTTTGAACATTCATTTCTTTTTGCAAATATTTAATTGTCAAGGGTTACACTTCCAACAAGTTACGAATCCAAATTATATTTACCACAAGAAGCAACAGGCCAGTATTTATTCCAGCAGCAACATCAAAAGCCAGTCAAAACAGACCAGCGAAGTAAAATCCCAAAAGTAATTCAACACAGCACTGCAAAAACAAATATTTGCCTTTTTATGCCCTCCTGGAAAAGATCAAACCAGCAAAACTTTGATAAAATTGTCTGTTACATGCTAACTACCTCATAAAACAGTGGTTTATTAATCACCAGTGGTTATTTGTTACCACTCAGAGCAACATCATAATTTAAGCATCAATAATAAAAGCAACACAAAACATACCAGCAAGCAACGTAAAATCCCAAACGCAATTCAATACAGCACTGCAAAAATAAACATTTGCATTGTTTGTGGTAAATAACAAACCAGCAATTAGTAAAGCATCAATACTTTAATAAATGTGTCCATTTAACCAACATTTAAAACAATTACGTTTTATTTGAACAATTTATCAATAATAGATGTTAACATGACACCTGCTACATGCAAACTACCTCACCAAACAGTGGTTTATTATTTACCAATGGTTTATTAATCGCAGTTGGTTTATTTACCACACAATTCAACAATATAGCATTCATTTCAGAAGCAATATTCAAACCAATGCCGCAAAAACACATAACTAGCCAGCATAATATCAAAGAAGCTCAAAATGGCCGACCTGTTTGGTGTGCTAGTCAGGAGGTGCTGATTCTGTTAGATGGGTGTGGCGGGAAATCCTTTTTTTGATTAGTCAAATAGGCTTGATGACATCAAATGTCACATGCATGTGGGAAAAACAGAGTGGTTAACATAAAACCCACAGTTTTACATATGGATTCCTCTTTATTGATGGTTAAGAGTTTTGCTGTTTTGTGCTTTATGCATACTGAAAATAAAGCGAAACAGCGCCAAAAACATTGTCGTTTGGAACCCGTTACTTTTCTCAGCGCTGGGAGGCTTGAACCAATCACATCCGGTTATTGCTGGATTGTTAAATACTCCTGTCAAATGAATGGATAGAATTGTATTTACTCTCGTAATGCTTTGTTATTTACCCAGTTATTTACTTTGTTAAATAGGCTACTATGTTATTTACCCAATACTTTGTTTAACAATAAGATATAAAGAAATTTCATATTTTTTATCGTATTTTAACTTTTATTTAACTATTATAATAAGCTTTCAGGATACTAAAGAATTGTTCTAGAATATATGAAGAGTTTGGCTCCAAATGCGATAAACGCCTTTTTTTTTTATTGAGTTCCCGCCAAATTCAGTATTTTATCTGTTAGGTATTGAAAAGTCAATTTTTAAAATTACGCAAAATGCATATCCACCGTGTTATTCTGTCATGTTTTCTCCCTATCTTTCCAAACCACGACAAACGCCAGTCTCCCTTCTCTGCAGAATGCGATACATCCTCTCAACCAATCACAGCGCACCATTCCATGCATTGTAAACAGTAACTGACAAGCTACGCAATGTCGCATACATAATCGCAGATGAATCACCTTTGATTATGAATGCGATATTGCGTAGCTTTGTCAGTGATCTACGGCTCTGTGTATTAAATGCCGCTCCATCTGAAAGCACGTGATGGAGATTTACTACTAATCACAGAACCGGCTTTACTGACGAGATGCGCATGACAATCGTATGCGAATTATCGTGCAGCCCTTGATGACTGAATAATGAATGAATGAATGAATAATTTTGACGGCATTGATGAACCTGTGGTGGTTTCTGCGGTGGGGAAGAAACGTAAGCTATTAATAAGACTAGTATTGAGCAAGTTCAGAGGCTGTCATATGTGGATCAACTAACTTTGTTGTGTATTTTCAACAGTTTCAATATGAAAAATAACTTTTATATTGATTCAATGGATTTATTGCATTTTGGGAAAACAAAAATAATCAGTTTTTATAATAATCTTTGAAAATTAAAATCTGGATTTAAATTTTTTATGTTATTATAACCTAAAGATGCTATGTGAATGTTTGAAAGAGAAAATAGTGGTTTTCATCTTGCCACTTTCTTGGTAAAGAAAACACACATTTTTCCTCAAATTAACATTACCGCGGGAGGTAGAGGTGCTGAGGGTGCTGCAGCACCCCTGGCGTGTAGCCCAAGAAAAAATGGGGGCGCTGGGGGTGCTGTGTTAAAAAAAAAAAAAATGAAAATTTTGTAACAAAAAATAAATAAAACTATCATTAAAATTAATAGAAAAAATAAGCCTAAGCCTACAATGACAATAAGCAACAGTAAAACATGAATTAAGTTGAATCAAATTGATTGTGAATGTCGTTTCAACTTAAACTGACTTAGGAAGTAATTTGTTGCCATGACTTTTTGATCATATTATTACCTGTAACATGTCTGTGCCGTACCCAAATCAAGAATTAACGACCGCCATTGCAAAGATACAGCAGAGAAAGATAGAGAGCGACTATTTACCTCAGCAGCAACCAATCTCGCATTCTCGCATCTTACAGAACTCAGCCATATAAGAATACCATATAAGGTCCATATATCAGCCACATCTGTTTTTATTATTTGGCTCACTCTGGGTTGGGTTATGGCACTGTTTAGGTTCAGTTCTGGCTAAAAATATGTGGACCAGTTTTGGGCCGGCGAACACAAACTAATCTGGGCCACACTTTAGCTGTTGATATGGGCCAGATCCGCGCCAAAGGAAATTTGCTGACTGGGATTATTATTAATAAAAAAGGCTATACAATAAAACAGCTACAACGACAAATCCACTTATATTAAACTTATATTAACAATATGAAGAAGGGAAATACGTTTTACCCGCATTGTAAGTTGTAACACAAATAAATAAACGGTCTTTGGATTTCCCCTTTCTTTAAAACGATTGTCGTTTGTGGTTCATTATTAGCCTATTAATTAAAACACATCAGCCATAAAATAGTGCAATGGCAAATTCGCATAGGCCCATATTAAACATCTTACTTTTATTAACAAAATGAATAAGACTGATATAGTCTACTTGCGTTGTAACCCAAATAAATAAGGTATTTTCCCTCTTTTAAAACAAATGCTATAATTTGTGGTTCATGGTTTTATTTATGTTTTTTAATGAAAACACAGCAACAATAAAGACGAACTCGCTTATATTAAACGAATAAATGAAACCTTTAACAAAACTTGCGCTTTTGGATCATTGTGTCTCGCATCACTCTTGTCACGTGACCAACCCCCCATATACCCCCCCCCCCCCCATATATACATATATACATGCAGTATAGACACATCTAAAATGATGCAATAGTGCATCATGCATAAGCCCTGCTGTGGGAAACTCCACTTATTTCTGGATTCCAGCTCAAAACTTTTGTTTATAGCTGAATCATTTTTTCAGAGACAGGTTCGCCCTTGCAAGGACAGTCCTGACTTCGGGGGAAACTTTAAAAAGCTAATTATCTGCAAACTCCATGACGAATTGCTCAGATAACCTTATCCCTGGTGTGGGAAAAAAAGAAAAACAAGGCCATCAGCAGTTCTTAAAAAGGGCTGCAGCTTCCCTTTTCGGGTGAGGAAGCCCAGCGCGTGCATGGCGGGAACGGGGGAAAGCACAAACAATCCGTAATGTTTTGTGTCAACCTGGCAATTAGGAGAGATAATGTGCCTAACCAATGTCATCATCCCCTGTGCTTTGGAGAGCAGGGAACATGGCTAAATGGACTCTGGTTAAAGAAGAACCGGAGGCCAGGTGCTCAGCTGCAGGAACCTGTAGGAATTTGGGCATTATCCTCATGAATAGCTATCTTTTTATAGCGCCGGATTGCGGGAAAGCGTCCAGTCACAACCACATCCTAGCAAAAAGAGTGAAATCCGACTACTGTCATATCCCTCAGACATGGAAGCAAACAAAAAGCAATCTCTTTCACTCTGCCTCACATCGCGACATAATGGATTTTCAGCCGCGGTACGAACTGTAAATTAAAAACACGTTATTGGCATAACCAGCAGCGTATTGCTGGAAGACTGACAGGAAATAGTGCATCAGCAAGCAAACATCTAAAAAAAAAATGCTTGATATTGAATAATCATCTGCACTCACACAAGGAGGGAAAATGATTTAGATTCGTTTTATTGACCGAAAGAGAGCCGCGACTGTTATCCGAACAAATTAAGGGCGGGAAAGCGCGTGCTTTGCCCTCGGGCTGCTGGGACTTCAATTACATTTGAGTGCGTGTTTGCAGAACTGTCTGCTGGATTTTCCCTCTTTCCATCTGAGTTTCCACAAATCAATTTGTCATATGCAGGAACATGTATGAGAAGCCATTTATTTTACACTTGCGTGAATTAGACGCTCCCCACTCTGCTTGTTGACATTTGAGTTCTGGGAGTTAACGATATTCAGCCTCCGCATAACGGTGAGCGGCTAAAGGTCAATTAATTATCAGAAAACATATTTGAATATGAATCATGTGAAGCACTCCATTCATACTCTCTCGTGGTTGTTTACATGAAGCTTAGTGAGATGAGAGAATTGGTATTGTGTTGCTAACGTCTAACCAGGTAACACATTTATGTTACAAAACAACGTTGTGAGAACATTGTTCTGAAATGTTTCTAAACCGTGACATGTCCAGTTTTCTTGTCGTAACAAAAGAACTGTACATTTTAACATTCTTAAAAGTTCTTAAATAAACGTTTAACGTTATATTTTTGGGTGAAAATAAAGTTAGCAGCACACTGTACAAAGCATGTTTTAGGAACCTTTAAATAACATTCTAATCACGAAAGAAGAAAACTAAACTAAAACAAGAAAACTAGACATTTTAAAATGAAAATATTAAAAAAATAGCCTTCAATTAACATTTTAATCACAACAAGAAAACTGGACATTTAATGTTCTTAGAATATTAAAAATAAACGTTCAAATAATGTTTAATTTTGGGTGTAAATATACTGTAGTTAGTAGAATGTTGTAAGAAACATTTTGTAACCTGTAATTTTGTAAGTTCTAATCATGATTAGAATGTTATTTAAAGTTTATAAAAAAAGTTGTACTAACATTATTTTCACCCAAAATATTACATTATTTGAACGTTTATTTTTAACATTCTAAGAACATTAAAATGGTCAGTTTCCTAAAATTTCTTAAAATATTCTACTAACTTTATTTTTGCTCAATATATATATACGTATATATATAGTTAGGCCCATATACAGTATATTTGGACACTGACACAGTTTTCATAATTTTGACTCTGTATGCCACCAGAATAGAATTAAAATGAAACAATAAAGACAAAATTGATGTGCAGCCTTTAAGCTTTAATTCAAGGGGCTGAACAAAAATGTAACATAAAATGCTTAAGAATTACAACCATTTTTAAACAATCCCCCGCCCCGCCCTTTTTTCAGGGGCTCAAATGTAATTGGACAAATAAATATAATCAAAAATTAAATGTTCGTTTTTAATATTTTGTTGAGAATCCTTTGCAGGCAATGACTGCCTTACGTCTGGAACTCATGGACATCAGCAGAGACTGGGCTTCCTCCTTTGTGCTGCTTTGCCAGGCCTTTACTGCAGCTGACTTCAGTGGTTCTTTGTTTGTGGCTCTTTCTGCCTTTAGTTTTGTCTTTAGCGAGCGAAATGCATGCTCAATCGGGTTGACTTGAGGATTGACTTAGCCATTGCAGAATAATCCACTTTTTACCTTTAAAAACTCCTGGGTTA